CAGGTGCTCTTTGTGGAAGATCTTTTCCCCTGGCCCCTCTCTGCTGTTCCTACAGGTTGTTCTGACCCCTCAGTAGCAGAGATTCTTTTCCCTTCACAGCTTCTCCACACCATGCTGTGGAGGACAAGCACTGTCTCTGGCTTCCTGCTTCTCCTCTCCGAGTGCCACAAAAAGCACACATTGCTGCAGACGGAACTTGGACTGGTCTTGCTGGGGCTGTTCTCGTTGGGTTGCTTTACGTTTATGACTAACCCCACTGAAAGTTGCTGAGTCTTTGCTGGGCAAATATGACAATGCCACCTGGAGATGCTAAGGCCAAAGATAGGCATGTGGGTGCCAAACATTAGGCTCTTGAATCCAAGGCCTTGATTCAGAAATCAATGGGAATTTTGCCTGTGCTTTCAATCAGAGGTAGATCAGACCTGTGAAGCCCTGTGCCCAGCTCAAGGGGTGGACTTTGGGAACCTCTCATCAGAGAGGACAAGCAGGCATAGGGTGAAGCTTGCATTGACAAAGCAGCCTCGGGGGAGATTATTTCTGCAAAGACCAGAGCTCTCCCAAATATTTACTTTGAAATGTTCAGCTAGAGGAAAGGTCAGCAACCGCTCATTTGCCAGTCCCTCTGGTGGAGTCACAGGTCAATCTGTGCATTGCCCAGACGCCGCCTACTGCCAGAGCCCGAGGGGACCCTGGGCGTTTTTCATGACAGTACAACGTGGGTTCTTGAGAGTGCCGCAAAAAATCAAGCGTCTTATCTAGCCTCAGCTAGAAGTGGCCAAACACGCGGCCTGTGCAGTGAGGAAAACAAACTGTTCCCTCAGGGCAGCAGCTTTTACACTTCGTGACAAATGTTGCACCTATCAGGAGTTCTCGGTGTGCTTGGCAGTGGGTGATTGCAAAGCTGGTATGGGGGGGAAGAGACGCAAAACTGCCAACTGGACCAGTTCTCATACTAAAGGATCTGACAAGCCGCATTGGAGGCCTAGGAACTGGGCAGCGCCTCTGACTGCCGCGGGCCTGGGACATGGAGCAGCATTGATGGTCCCCCACAGAGAAGCTCCCTGTGACATGCAGCCTGAGGAAGGGCTAGCCCAGGTGATTGGCACCTGGTCTGAGTGCCCAGGTTAGCTCAGTTTGGGTGTGAGCAGCCACTCTGCAAAGCTGTACCAAGTCACCCTGTGCCCTCTGGTGCTGCACTCCCCCAGCTCCGGCGCTAGGACTTCTGGGGGCATCTCCCATGGGGTTTTGAGCAGCTCTGATTTTCCTGGTGAATTGTGGGAGAGCTTGTCTGTCCCTGCACACACAGGGGGGAAACGTGGGAAGGCACTGGAGGACTATCATCTTCACTGCAAGGCGGGAGAGTCCCTAGCCAGAACGCAGGCTTCCTCTCACATCCCCAGGAGGGCCAGCTAGCTCAGGCTGTGAGCAGCCTGTGAGACCCACAGCTGCTCTTCAGTGGTTCCATTGCCCTTCTGACCATTTGCTTTTGGAGCCCTGGGGATGTGGTTCTCCCCACACAGAGCATTGCAGACTGCCAGCCCCTCTCGCAGGTAGCTGTGCTGCTGGCTCTTCCCCCTGGATTGGCCCCAGAACAACCCCCTTGGCTCCCTCTGAAGAGATTGCTTCCAGCTGCACTCAGGGGCAAATCTTAAACAATAGCACTTAGAGAGGGAGAAATTAAGCTCTAGAGATGAGGGAGGGAGGGAGGGAAGGGAAGGGCAAGGACTGCTGATGCTCCCAGTGCAGGAGGCCTGAGTTGGCACCACCTCTACAGACACTCATGGGCTTCTGCCACTGGCAAAGGTACATAGCACTACAAATAAAAATCAGGGATCTTCAGCGCCTGGGTCAGTCTGTACGTTGGTGTGGATGGACCTCTGGTCCCACCCGGTCTGCAATCTCTAGGTTCCCGAGGCCAGAGCAAGGGGAGCTTGGTCCCTCTGTGTGGGAAGGCTCCATTTACAAATGGTTAATAAGTGATGAAAAGATGCTAACGACAGGAGCTGCAGTGCTGGAAATGGGGACAAGCCAATCAGTAGCACCCGAGGGCTCTCAGCAGCCCGGTGGCCTGTGGGATTCTAGAACAATGCACAAGACCTGATTAGCCAGTTACCAGCCTGTGCAAACTCTAGGAACGGACCCTTCATACAAAGCACAACCAGAAATTCACCTGCACACAGAGCGTTTTGTTCCACAGAAATTGGGGCCGAGCTGCAGGCTCCTGGCTCAGGCTTGGATCTATTCCCAGTGCCCCTCTTCGCTTTTCCATTTGGCTCCCATCCTCTCCCATCAGACATTTCCATAAAGTGCCTCCTTGCTGCAGAAGGGGCTTTTCTGCTCTCCTAGGAGCTGCCTTGGTTAGGCTATGACCTGACTGTGCTGAACATGGCCAAGTCTTCCGTGAAGAAACATAAAAATGACACCCAGAGCCCAGGAGAACCCCATCACCAATGCACAGTGTGGGCTTTGTGGCTGCTGAATCCTGAAACCATGGCACAAGAGGCAACACTAGAGAAGGAGGGTAAAGTTAACACTGGTAACCACAGGCAGCATGGCCTGGAGGAGGAACAGCGTTCGAGCCAGGAAGCAGAACTCTGCCAAACACTGGGGGTTGAAACGGGTAGTTCTCTTCCATACCAAGATCAGCCGCTTTGGACTGGCCAGCTCGTCAGGGCTAAACTGGGCTTCAGGGGACTGGTGGAGGTTTGGAGCCTGCTGGGACAGACTGTGGATGAGGACGTTGGTTTGCTCCCAATCTCTGTCCCCCACTGTCTAGGGCTAGTGTGTGTTGAGGCTCCCCTGTGAAAGGGGAGGAGCATCGTGGTAGGCAGGGAGCCCCACAGTAGGCCCTTCCCAGGTACCAAACATGCCCCCAAGAACATCTCCCTTTTGGGCAGAGCCCCGCTCAGCACAATCGCGACTAGGCGATGGATGAACTCTTCCCTCACCCAGCCCCAGTTTAGCACCCATCCCCTGGGAGCAAGTGCCTTTCCCACCCAGGCTCCTGGACAACGCTCAAATGCAGTGTGTGATCAGACCTTCTTGGATATGGTTTTATCAACAAAGAAATCCACATCAATGTAACATAGCTCATCTCAGAACTTCTCCCCAGGCATGGCTGTTCCTCCGTCAGGTCTGCTCAGCCCACCCCCTAGATCTTCCTTCACCAGATGCTGTAATGAGCCCCTGCTAGTCAGCAGTGCCCACTTATTCCTGCTCCAGCAGGCCCTGCTGATGGGGGGAGGGGATATTGCCTGCCTGTTCAGACCCTCACATAGCTCATGTGGCAGCATCCCTGCTGGTGAGGCTGAGGCGCAAAGGGGAAGCTACTCTCAGGCAGGAGCAGCCTGTGCCCTGCAGCATGGAGGAAGTGCTCGGATCCATGCTGACTGGAACAGCAGCGCTGCCCTGTTTCCCCAGCAAAGCGCCGCTCTGGAGCGGGCAGGTACTAACTCCCTAAGAAACATGTCTCAAAACACAGCAGCCCACGTACAGGTTTCAGCGTCGGGCCTCTGGGGCTGCTCCAGGGAACGAGCAGGCACCAATCTAACTCCCGGCTGTGATTGGGCACGGGGTTCCAGCATGGGGGAAGGGAGCTACTCTCTCATGGTTCCCACTGGATCAGGCATTAGGCACCTGCATCCCCAGGGCTGCTCCCACTTACGCACCAGTACCAGGTCAGTACCAGCCAGGGAGGCACCAAGGTGGATTGAAGCCTCTTGCTGCCCTCTCCCCTGCTGGGTACAGCACAGGATCCAGCCCTGCCCCTTCCCTGACGGCCATATGGTGCTTTGAAGTCCAGGCTGGCCACGTAGAACGGAGGCTCCCCATCTCACGGCCTGTGCAGACGCATTCTCTGCCCCCGAGGCTCACGGTTACTCCATTCAGAGTTAGCCTGAGCCCCCTGCAAGGCGTGAGACCAGCTCAGGTAGAAGTTAAGCCTGGCAAGGAATCAGGCGCAGGTCAGTGGAACTCGGACCCCGGCTCTCCCCTGCACAGGGGTCCCTCACCCTCCTGCAGCACCGTATGCGATACCGCAGCCAGCCTGGAGGAAAGGCTGAGAGCAGGGCGGGCCCAGCCACTTGCTGCTGGACAGCTCCCAGCTAGAGCAGCCTTGGCATCCCCCTGCATCAAACAGCAGAGAATACAATCACTCTCCCGGGAAGCCTGGTGGGAAGGACCATTAAACCAGAGCAGCTGAGGCAGAAGGTGGCTTCCCAGCCCCTCCACTAGCAAAGCTCCCTCCCAGCCCAGCCGACCCGTGGCCTGGCCTGGCACCCAGTACAGGAAGTTTGCTTTTCCAATCACCTCTCTTCACACACATTTTCCCCTGCAGGCGGTCACACAGCGAGCCAATGGCTGGGCCAACCAGGGAACCAGCAGTTGGCCCTCTCAGTTCAATGAGGCCAGCCATGTGGCCAGACATGTGAACCCCCCACTCCAGGCACTGCGGTATGAAACCTGCTGCACGCGGAGATTGGGACCATGAACCCTGCTGCTCCTGCTCAAGGATCATGCCGCTCTTGGATTCCAGGGCAAAGAGCTGCTTTCCATGGCCTCTACCTCCCACAGAGCAGCAGCAGGGCTCCTGACGGGCTGTGAAGGCTGGAGCAGGGAGTCACCGCTCCAGAGGCCCTGGGCTAGTGCAGCTTGTGTAGCATCCAGACAGGCTGCAGGTGTCCTCTGGGAATGAGCCAGCATGGCTGGCTGAGTTTCTTCGGAGACCCTGGCCCTTCCCGTCTTGGCACTGAGCGGCTGCAGGAGGGGGCCTGCACTGCACTCTCAAACGAGGCTCAGGGTGGCGATCTCTGCAGCATCCCTGTCACCCATGTCCAGCACAGATGGTGCAAATCCACTCCAAGGGGGACATTCAGCATTATGTCCCCCAACACACACACGCGGCTTCATCACCACCACGAACGCAGACATGCCTTGAAGGGTGCCTGGTTCTCCCCAGGATTCTCCCCTCTGGAGGAGCTCCCGCCCCAAGGGGGACCTACCTGCACTTCCCGTGTGTGGTAGGCAATGATCAAGCCCAGCAGGATGACGGTGGACAGGCTGATAAGGCATTTCAGGGCCAGAGAAAACATGGACTCCTGTAGGACAAGGAAGGAGAAAGCATTAGAGGAGTGAGGGCCAGGAAGGGATCACCCCATCCCCACCGAGACATAACGGGAACTGGGTCCATGGGCCAGGGCAGACGGGAATGCATGGGCCTTGGAGGCATTCTGCTTTCTCCATCGTTACAGGGGAAACTGCGGGCACATGGATCACCACAGAGCAAGGTGTGAGGTGGAGGCATCTGCCCACCCCACCCCTGTTCCTGAGCCCGGAAGCTCAGCATGTGCTCTACCTACCCCCCCCAACCCACTGCAGGCAGCTTCCCAGAGATGCCTGCTGTCTGGCCCCACCCCACAGCCTCAGCCAGGACTCTGTACAGCTCCTCCAAGCGTGCCGGCACAACCACCCCCCTTCTCCCATCTGGGGGTCACACTCCCACTCAGTGATGGGCCACCCAACTGAGAAGAGCAGGGAGCGGAGGCCGAGCACAGGGTGCTCCAGCTGAGAATACTAAACCATACCTGTGCCTCTGCATCCCCTTCCGCCCCAGGCCCTCCGAGTGCGTCACAAGCACTAATTCATCCTGCCCCCTTTTCTCAGGGCAAACTGAGGAACGATGGGGTAAGTGACTCACCCAGAGCCACATGGCAAGTCATCGACAGCTGGGAACAGATCCCAGGAGTCCTGATCCCCAGTGCCCTATTCTAGCCACTAGACAACACTGCCTCCGGGCCGCACGAGAACCTAAGACTGACCCTCCCTGCACCGACCGCTAGATATTGCTCTTCAGAGAGCTGGCAGCCACAGGAGCTCGGCTCGTCTGCGCCCCTTAGCGCTGCGATAATGCCACGTTCCTTTGGGACAGTGCACGGCAGCCCAGCACCCAGCCCATCTGGCACCGTGGCAGGAGGGGTACAAGCGGCAGCCTGGGTGCAACTGGTGAGCTGGGCTGACAGCCCAGGAGCAGGATGGGGACTCTGCAGCCAGATTGGAGGTTCTCTGCAGGTAATGCGATGGGGGCTCAGAGCTGGGACAGGGCATTGGGGATGGCCCATCTGTCTCTCGCTGCACCAGCTTGACTCCACTCCCCAATGGTGCCCCTCGCCCTCAGACTGACCATTGCCCCACCCCACACAGTCACCCCCAGCTGCGGATTCACTCCTAATGGAAAAGGAGTACTTGTGGCACCTTAGAGACTAACCAATTTATTTGAGCATGAGCTTTCGTGAGCTACAGCTCACTTCATCGGATGCATACTGTGGAAACTGCAGCAGACTTTATATACACACAGAGAATATGAAACAATACCTCCTCCCACCCCACTGTCCTGCTGGTAATAGCTTATCTAAAGTGATCACTCTCCTTACAGTAAGAAAAGGAGGACTTGTGGCACCCTAGAGACTAACCAATCTATTTGAGCATGAGCTTTTTGGTTAGTCTCTAGGGTGCCACAAGTCCTCCTTTTCTTACTGTAAGGAGAGTGATCACTTTAGATAAGCTATTACCAGCAGGACAGTGGGGTGGGAGGAGGTATTGTTTCATATTCTCTGTGTGTATATAAAGTCTGCTGCAGTTTCCACAGTATGCATCCGATGAAGTGAGCTGTAGCTCACGAAAGCTCATGCTCAAATAAATTGGTTAGTCTCTAAGGTGCCACAAGTACTCCTTTTCTTTTTGCGAATACAGACTAACACGGCTGTTCCTCTGACTCCTAATGGAGTTCAGGCAGCTCGTGCTGACAGCAGCCTGGTGCCTGGGGAACAGTCAATACTGTTTATATGTGAGCACTGGATGCAGCCTCACAAGTTACCGGCCCCCAGCTGTGTGTTTTACAGTGGGAAGTCTCAGGCTGTAATGACACAATCCATCAGCATGGAGGGATGCATCAAACCACCGCTTATTGGCTTGTTTTTGCTGTTGCAATTGGGAGGAAAAAAGATACAGCTCCGAGGCCCCCCAGGTTGAAGCCTCAGAGTGAGAATGACAAGGTGTGGGAACAGAGCGTCCTTGCATGAGCCTGAAGACAGTTCCCGTCTCATACATCCACCCAGCAGGGGCTGCTGGCGGAACTGCGAGTGCACAGGATGCAAAGGTTAGTGCAAAGCTAGTGCAGTGGATAGGACGCTGGCCTGGGGTCTAGTCCCTGGTCTACCACAGAGGCCCTGGACAAGTCAGTCAGTTCTGTGACTCAGTTTCCAGACTGTAAAATGGGAACATCCCTTCCCTCCTGCACAGAGCTGTGAGGATAAAGGTGCTCACACATGACAACACTGCAGGCTGTACACCTACCAGCATGTGAATGCCCGAGCTCAGGGGTGAAAGGTGCTGACTCCATGCCCCCATGCTGGCAGGAAGGCCCAGGGAATAGGGGCCCAGTGTGTGGTTCCCCAATCCGGCTGAACAGACTGTGCCCCCAAGGTTAGCAGCTTCCTGAGGCCAAGGACCCAGCTGATCTCAGTCATACAAGCAACAGAATAGCGATAGTAGACTCACTCTCGTGCCTTCATCCAGGGATCTCAGCCCTGCTGCTTCAGGGCACAAACCAGCCTCTCACTGGGGGTCAGGAGGGAACTCCCCTTGGGGCAGGTTACCCCATCACTGGCAGGGGGAGGAGGGGGGCGCCTTGCACCTTTGAAGCAGGTGGCACAGGCCAGTGAGATGGGAACTGCCCAGCCCAGCACCTCCTGTCCCTAGTGGGAGGGAAGTACTATCGATCCCTGCTTTACAGCTGGGCCAGCACCCCACCTGGCTATGGAGCCTGACCTCGGGCAGCCCACGCAGCAGCCGCTGCTACACACCAGGCCCACCATCCAGGCTAGTGGCACAGTGGCCTCCCATCAGCCACACACTGCTGTATCCCAGAACTGAGGCCCAGGGGACCAAGGAGACTTGCAGAACAGGAATCTGACCCAGGTTCCTCAGGGCCACCACCAAAAGCCCAGCCATGCCTCTGCATGCCAGGAAGCAGACCAGGCTATGTGAGCAGCCACTGGACCAAGGGGTCCCCGGGGAGCCATGTCCCTGCGCCCCCTGGGGCTCAGCAGCTGGGAGCATGATGTTATTGGCATCGATTTGCCGTCTGGAAGAGCAGCCCTTTTTTCAATGAGGTTTTTAATCAAATGCTGTTAGATGTAATTACGTCTCCCCTCGGCCAGCCAGGGGATTCCAGCAATCTGCTGAGTCTCAGCATTAGCTCTGTAATATGGCATCCTAATAGATGGTCTAATCAGATGTTCCTGCTAATCAATGCAATGTAAATTAAACCAGCCCTTAGATGCCCATGAGCAAAGTGGCTGCTTCCAGACCCCAGGTCTCTGCTGCCTGGCTTCCCACCGGGAAAGGCCAGGCAGCCGCACCCCTCCTTTCCTCGCTGTCTCACTTCCTACCCACTCCCTCCTTTTCCTCTCCACAGGGCTGAGGCATGTGTGTTCATGGTGGCTGCATGAGAAGAGACCCCTGCACTGTCTCTCTCATTCCCCCCACCCAGCCCTGGATGGCTGCCCCGGGGCTCCTAACTGGTGTCACTGCTGGGCAGTGACTGACCTTGGCCAGCTCCAGCCAACGGAGTGACGGGAAGAGCTGGGTCTTGGCAGCCCAGCGTAGTCTGTGTTGTTAGCAGAGGGCTGGTTCCCCTCCCGTGGGGGGACAAAGGCCAGCAGCAAGCATTCTGATTATTATTGCAGCCGTCCAGTGACTTCACCTCACCCAGCGCGCATAAGAACCCACTGTAATTTCAGTGCCAAGCAACCTGCCCCTTTCCCTCCCAGCAACAGGGGGAGCTGGAGTCTGGCTTTTCTCTAATCTCCCACAGATGCTATGAACACCTGGAGCCCCATCTCCACCTCCCCAGCCCCTCTGCAAACCCCACACCGCAGCCAGCCGCCCATTTCTCACCTCCCAGCAACTGTCCCCTGAGGGCCTCCTGCCACTGCAGGTGTTTATGGCTCAGCCACCTCCTATTTCACTCCAGCTGACAGAGCCAACATCCTTCAACACTCTCAAGACAAACAAGCTTCTGGGTGCCTTGCTTACAACACTTCGTTCCTCCTATTACGAGCTTACCTGTCCTAGTTGCTGGGAGGGCCCCAGGCAGCACCTGGCTCTACTAAGCACAGGGCTGGTGTAGTCAAGCACTCCTGCCTGGGGTTTACAGGGGCAGCAGCGCTCGGAGACCTCAGCTGCAGGGTGCTCCCTCCCAAATTCCAGCCCCCTACCAGCCAGGCTTGCTCACAGTCACAAGACAGACTAAAGGTGGAAAACAAAGGCAACCAGCAGAACAAGAAGGAACCGTCCCAGAGCCGGGACCCTGCTGGTCTCAGGAACCCCACAGACAGATACTAGCCCCTCATTAGCTGCATTGAGGTAGCACCTGGCGCTGCAACCAAGGTGGGGCCCTGTTGTGCTGGATACTGCAGACACCACAGCGAGGCAGCCCCTGCCCGACAAGCTCCCGATAAAGGCAGGGTTATTCTCCCCATTAGCAGAGGTGGAACTGGAACACACAGACTTTCCCAGCAAGGTCAGCATGTCAGGAGCGGAGCTCTGTAGATCATCTAACCCTACCTGTAGGGGTCAAGCACAGGCCATCCCGCCCAGGACACCCACCCGGGGAGCCTGCTAGACCCAGCTTTCCTGAGTCGTGAGGCATTAGCCAGAAGACCCTCCTTCCTCTCTCTCAAAAGTGTTGCAAAGGGGGGCAGAGCCAGGGTTAAGCAGGGCAGAATCTACCCAGGGAAAGGGACCCAGGGGGTTGTCCGCAGAGCCCCAGGACAGACCCATTGCTGCAAGGGCCTCGGTAGGGGATCTCCCTTTGCCTTCCCACTGAGCATGTCTCTGCTAGGGCCACTGGTGCTAATGGGGCTGCTTGGCTTCTCTCTGCAGCTGCCGGAGGGGAATTCCCATAAACCCGACAGCAGAGCCCAAGGAAATCAGGGCATTTAGTGGGATTGTTCTAAGTGCCAGGAGATAAAGAGGCCCATGGGAGAGATACAGACAGGCAGAGCTGCTGAGGGATGAGCAGAGAGCAACAGCTGAT